TAGAAGCTCCTCCGCAGCCTGTCCAGCCAGTTTGTTGATGTTATATGACCTGTGGACACAAGACAGAAGACTATGAAGCAGCTGAAGAAAGGACTGGTACAGACTAACACCTGGATTCTCTTGTTCCTGTAACTGCAGATGTTCTACAGCAGAAATATTATTTTAAAGGTGTTTGGACTCGTGAGCCGGTGGACGCGTCGAGGCTGATGATTGGCTCTCTGGTTTCCTTCAGGTGTTTTAAAGCCGGCAGGGTCTGAACGGTCATTCCAGAAAATCCACCTTTCTGGAATGTTCCTTTAGTGCAGGACAAACATGTAGATCAAAGGGTTTCCTGGTTTCGACCAGTGTCCCTGAAGGCAACACTGGACCCGACAGAATCACGTTTCTCTTGCTGCTGTTAGCAACAAGCTAAAGTACTGATGCTAATAACTACGTCGAGCTGAGATGACGGGTGGTTACCAGGCTTTGGATCCTGTTCCTGTGCAGATGCTGAGTCCTGAGCTCTTCTGCTTTTCCCACGGGCCGTCGTCCACAGAGATCTCATAGTACGAAGCCCTATGAAGCAAGAGGAGCACATGGTGTTTGAAGGGTTTTAACTTCCCCCTGTGGTGGACAGAGATCCCACTGATGAGTGCTGGAGGGGGGAGGGGTTACAACATGCACACGAGCATCAGACGGAGTTAACGTCGGCTCAGACGATGGACGTACCTGGAGGACAGAGACTCTCCGATGAAGATTTCATTCAGGCTTCTGATGGGGAGGAGACTGGGCTTGGAGAAGCTCTCGTGCAGCGTTCCTGTCTCTGAGAAAACTTTAAGATTAGTTGAAGAACAAAAACAGTTTCAAGATACATGACGTGATCAAACTGTTGTGGACAGAGGGACAGAGGGACGGGTGAGGTGGACGAGTCCTACTGTGTTGTCCGTCCATGGTGGTGATGCGGTGGGCTTGGCTGTGCTGCTCCAGGCTCAGCTGCTGCTCGTGCAGATCCACCGACGTGGGATTGATTCCTGTGCCTTCCAAGTGCACGCGAATCCTCTGACGCCAAAGCCACCTGACCACAGCAGAGGACAGATGTTTGCTCTGATTGTCAAGAACCTGCTGGTGTTTTTAAATGTGCTGAATAAATACAAATACGTGGGATAAAGATCGATTATAGATTCATCTGTCCCTGGTTTTATTTATCCAGCCTGTCGCTGCGTTTGAAGATGTTTGTTTTCATGTCAACAAACAAACTGAGTTGAAAAATCTTATTAGATGTTTTTTTTAATGAAGAATTTTTTGTAATTTAAAAACTTAATTTAAAACATTTTTATTTAAATTTAAATATTTTGGGGTGAAGGGGTGTGAGTACTTTCTGAACACACATTATACGAGTGACGAGTATTTGTACATGTGAATGAGAATACATGTATGTGAAAGAAGAATGCGTGTGTCCGTGAGGCCCAGAATGCATTATGTCCCGCGTGGCCCCTCGTACAAAAGCACTCTGATGATTGTTGGATAAATACGCACCTGAACTCACCACGACAGAGTTTCTCCAGTGCCTCTGGGAAGGCACGAGTGTAACGAACAGGCAGACACAGGTGACCTTCTGACCTTTGTTAAAGAGACACGTGAGAAGTGGACGTTAGAGACACGTGACAGAAGACGTCTCCTGTCCCCCTCAGAAAGACACAGAACAGGTTCTATGAAACAAGTTCAGAGCTTTACCTCTCAGGGTCAGTGTTCACTCCAACCACCGGTTTGTCTTTGCTCAGAACTTTACTGGCAACAAGCAGCATTGTCCCGTCACCTGACAAAACAAACTGCCGTTAGAGAACTTGTGTTGTCTGCAGCTTTTGTTCATGCGACTCTTTAACCCCTCGGTTCAATAAGTGAGAGTCCGGCCTGTTCGTACGTCACGCCCGCACACAAACAGTAAGATTCTGTTATCACACGTTCACACGTTCTAACAAAGAGTAACCACGACAACGAGCGCTCGAACATTCACGTCTGAAACGTTTGTTCTACAGAATAAACAATGCAGAGAAGATGTGAACTGACGTTTATACAAACATCATGACACAAAGTGTTTCTTTCAAATTCATAGAATAAAGTTTATGGTTAAACTTTAAATCATCAAACCTCAATTCAATTTCTTGGTCACAAGAGTTTTATCACCACATCTTCTTCAGAGATCAGCTATAAACAGGTTGACTTTTAAAAACCTTTTTATTTCCACTTAAAATGACATTAAAGTTGAAAGTGAAACCAACAGTGATCAAATAAATGTTCCCAGTAAACACGTCTCTGAGTTCTCCTCATTTTCAGCCACTGATCGTTAAACTTTCACTTCCTCTGTTCACAAAGGAGCGACGGGCGTCTGAGCTTCACCAGAAACAGATAAACAACCAACGGTTCTTCTTTTCTCGCTCTGGCACAGAAGTGACGTTTTCATGGGAAACTTTGGTCGTGACGCGTCTGAAACTTAAGAACCGTCATCTGAGTTCAGAACATTTCTGAACCCTTAAAGTCTTTTCTCTGTTAGACTGAATTTAAAATATGTAAGACCCTTGAGGACCCGCGTCCGCCCTGAAACCTGCAGCAGCCTCAAGCAACAACCATAAAAACTCCAATCACAAATTGTGACTTCCCAGATATGACAGGATGTTAAAAACCCAAACAGGAAGTGAAATTCTGACCTCCAGCAGAGATGATGGCGTCGGCCCATCGAACGACTTCTTCATCATACTCTCCTCTCTTCACCACTCGGACATCGATGCCTTCGCTCCTGAAAACCAGACTTTACTTCTCAACTGAGTCTCAACTGTAAAACAAGTGTGACTGTGTGTGTGTCTGTGTGTGTGTGTGTGTGTGTGTGTGTGTGTTCTGACCGTAGACTCTTCACGATGTGCTCCACGTTGTTGGTGTGGATGTTGTGTCTCTCCAGAAGACCAGTGTAGCTGGAGCCCTTCATCGCAAGCTGCAAAACACAGTCACAAGTTGGACACGTTACAGTCGAAGGTGTGAACGGTTCTTCAGACCCGGAGAGAAGTTCTGAGTCAAACTGATCCTGGTTCTGTTGGTTCACTGAGAAGTACACACACATTCAATACCTTGATCTTTGTCTGTGTGTGTCTCCATGTCTGTGTGTCTCTATGTCTCCATGTGTGTGTGTCTGTCTCTATGTCTCTCTCTCTCTGTGTGTGTGTCTCTATGTCTCTGTGTGTGTGTGT